AGCTCCTCTCTTACTGGCACTGCATGGTCTGGTCAGCGCTTTAGGCTGCCCCCTCTGGGCTCAGTCTTTCATAATTATGGCATCCAGATCTCAAATCCCCTGGTGCCAATAGTCCTGCTGATCTCCTTTCCCCCCATCAGAGGCTGCGCCTGTTCCAAGGGACTCCGCTGGGTGCCACTGTGGGGTTTCCCTCTGATTCTCTGGGCTCGGAGATGTGGCATACTTTCCTGACAGCTGATTTCTTAACAGAAACTTTGCAAGCCAGAAAGGAATAGCAAGAAATATTCAAGTGATGAATAGCAAGGACCTATAACCAAGATTACCCAGCAAAGCTATCATTTAGAATTAGAAGTCAGATAAAGAGCTTCACAGACAAGAAAAAGCTAAAGGAGTTCATCACCACCAAACCAGTATTACATGAAATGTTGAAGAGTATTTTTTAAGAGGAAGAAGAAGAGTATTCTTTAACGAGGAAGAAGGAGAAGGAGGAGAAGAAGAGATAAAAATATGAACAATAAAATGGCAATAAATAGGTATCTATTGACAATTAAATCTAAGAATCAATTGAACAAGGAATCTAATGAACAAAATAAATTGGTGAATAAAATAGAATCAGAGGCATAGAAACATGGAACAAACTGATGAATCTCAGAGGGAAGAGGGGAGGGGTTGAAAGAGATTAACTGCTAGTAAAGAACTGATATGCACATATGCATTACCTATGGACACAAGCAATAGGGTGGTGAAGGCCTGGGGTGGGGCAGGAACCGGGTGGAGGGAGAAAAGGGGGACATCTGTAATACCCTCAACAATAAAGATTTTTTAAAAAATAAAGGTTAACTTTCATTTCAAATGAAATACAATAGTCACTTTAAAAAAGAAGAAAGAACAATCCCAAATTGCCAAATAATTATTAAAGAAATTTGATATTTAGTTAAAAGTGATCTAGGGGTGGGCGAACAGACCCAGATTGCTTTTCTCCATCTGTTCTAACCAACATTGCAGGAATGAATAATTTCAGCACTACACAGATTCTTCCATCAAAAAATAGGGTTGTTCCACAACTAATTTTATAAGGCTCGTATAAATTGACACTCAAACTAGGTAAGGTCAGTACCAGAAAAGAATATTAGAAACCAGTCTCGCTAGTGAATGTGATGAAAAGTAAAGTATTTTTTATTCCTTGCTAAAAGAAAAAAATACTAGCAAGCCAAACCTAACAATGTATAAAAAATACTCTTTGACCAGGAATTCAAGATTGGCTTGAATTTAGAAAATCTCATACATCACCAGATTAAAGTGTGACTTGCAGATTTATGTGTTTATTTGTTAAAAACATTAATTTATTCAAGAATATCTTTTTAAAATAGCTTTAATTTAAAATTTGTATGTTTAAAAATATATTTTAATAGCAACAAAATATAAAATACTCGAGAATAGATTTTACAAATCTTGCACAAGGCCTTAATAAGAAAATTATAAAGCCTTACTAAAATATATTTTAAAAGACCTAAATAAATAGAAATATATCTATTCTCATGAATGGGATGACTCGATACCACTAACAATATTGGAATTGAAGGTCTTGGGTTCAATTTTGAGTCAGGGCACATACCTGGGTTACAATTTGATCTTCAGTTGGGAGCCGACCTATTATTGTTTCTGTTGCATGCTCTCCCCGCTCCCCTCCTTTACTCCCCCCCCGCCCCCATCTCTCTCCCTTTCCCTCTCCCTCAATTAAAAAAAAATTCTTGGGTGAGGATACAAAAAAAGTATGATTAGAAGGAGGAGTGTTGCGATTGGGGGGCTGTCATGCCAGAAGCCAATTCCAGCATGTCAGCAGGGCTGAATCACCTGGGAATGGCTGAGGACATTTCCCCAATCCTGAAAAGGATGCATTAAATGATTGCTTGCTGCCAGACAGCTCAGGGCATTTCAATGTACATGTTATTGCCTCCTACTGGCCAAACACCTGAACAGCCGTAGGCAATTTCCCCCAATTGACAATGGATTCTGTTCCTAACTTTACCCTTCCATGTATATCTCTCTCTACCTTGCCTTAGGACAAATTGTGTTAATCAATAGCAAGGGGTCCTGAGACAAGGAGAACTAGGTTTCTTTAGCCAAGCTCCTCTGGCCCCCAAATGCCTTTCAAACTTATGTTTCATCTCTGGACTGTTATTTAATCTACACACAGCCCTTATCCAGATTCCTGAACCCTTCCAGGTGCTGGATCAAGAACACCAGCACAGAGATAGCTCTGTTAGCACAGACACAGGGCAGACAGATGCTCTTCTGGAGCCTAAATCTTGAGTTAAGGCCTAGAGAGAGATGAGGCAGGTGGGTTCAATTTGGTTCCACATCCTGAAACATTAGCAACCTGGAAGTGCAGGTTGGTACATAGTGATGGACCTGTTTCTCTAGAACCCTCTCCTAAACTGCTGAGAAGGGAGGCTGGCCAGGAGGCTGTGCATTACTCCAGATAAAGTCCAGGAGGTAGGGATGGGTAGGAGAAAAGAGCAGGTGGTAGATCAAGAAACGTTTAGGAGGCAGAATTTGCAGGACATTGTGGTTGATTGACAATGATTGAAGAAGGGGAAGACTGTGGAATGCAAGAACCAGTGTAGCCAGCTGTAAGAAATGAAGCAGCATCCTCAATCTACTACTGGGCTTTGCCAGGGCAGAGTTGATCCAAGTGAGATATCTTCTTTCCTTCTTAGTGATTTGTAACATTAATTTGCAAATGCAACACATGCCCCTCAGTAAATACATGGCACTGTGATTCTGTCACATTTATACAAAGCTCAGTAGCAGCATAACAAAAATGTGACTGTTACTAAAATATTTTTCCGTGAGAAAATTTGTTTTCCAATATAGCTCCCAAGATTCGTTCATAGAAAACACAGTGAATGGTCACTATAATTATAACATCCTGCCTAGAAGACTGGTTGGGTTGGGTTTAAGGTTTCCTTTGGTGCTTATAATAATTGCTTTTTGTAATTTTATCACTTAAACAACAGTAACGTTTTATTTGTAACTGTAGTTGAGAATTGTGTTTCAAGCACGCTGTTTGCATTTCTTTAAAGGAATGTGTTTTCAAAAGCAAGACAGAATATTTCTGTGAAAGGCTTTATTCTCAGAAGCATTATTTGATCTCCTAGGTCACTTTTGTGACCAGACTAAAGGCAGGTTATGGGCTCGTTCTTAGGTCTGCCGAGTCCCTTGGCTCAGAAAGTAATATAACCTTCAGGGCAGAAGAGATCTTGTAGTTTTTCTGACTGATTGGCTCAAGTACAGACCTCCCCCTGAAATTAGCTGAGCAAGGAGGGAACAGCTACCTCAGCATGAGCTGTCCCTGGTACCTAAGAAGCGATTCTGCCGAGAAGATGCCTCAAAAAAGGACTTTAATCAAACCCTCAACTCAAATGACATTTAATGTTTCCACTTAGTTTTTTGTAGTATTAGCCAAGCAGCATTTTTGCCATTGTTTAAATAATGATAACAAACGTTTAAATGAAATCTCCTGAGATTTAAGAGAGCTTTTAAACCTCAGTTATTAAGACCATTAAATCTTTAGTACCCCTAAAACTGGAGTTGTTTTTTGTTTTGTTTTGTTTTTTAAATATATTTTATTGATTTTTTACAGAGAGGAAGGGAGAGAGATAGAGAGCTAGAAACATCGATCAGCTGCCTCCTGCACATCTCCCACTGGGGATGTGCCCGCAACCCAGGTACATGCCCTTGACCGGAATCGAACCCGGGACCTTTCAGTCCGCAGGCCAACGCTCTATCCACTGAGCCAAACCGGTTTCGGCTAAAACTGGAGTTTTTAATGATGTCATTATGAGCACCAAAACAAAATAATCACTTGCTCTCTCCTTCATAGCATTTTGCAATGAAGATTATGAACAGAAATGCTTCCATTGCAGGCATGCATAAGACACATCAAAAATAAAATGGGGCCCTAGCCGGTTTGGCTCAGTGGATAGAGCATCAGCCTATGGACCAAAAGGTTCCAGGTTTGATTCTGGACAAGGGCACATACCTTAGTTGCAGGCTCCTCCTCAGCCCAGGCCCTGCCCGGGACTTGTGCAAAGGCAGCCAATTGATGTGTTTCTCTCACATTGATATTTATCTCTGTCTTTCCCTTTCTCTTCCACTCTCCCAAAAGAAAAAAAAAATCAATGGAAAAATATCCTTGGGAGAGGATTAACAAAAACAACAACAACAAAGAAATGGGCCCTGGCCTGTAGTCACGTGGTTAGAGCACCCTCCCAATACACCCAGCCTGAATGCATAAATAAGTGGAACAACAAATCAGTGCTTCTCCTCCCCCCACCCCCCAAAAAATCAATAAAAATAAAATAATTAAAAATGAAGCAATGCAGTACTAAGTGAAATGGAATTTCAATTAAACCTAATGGCTTTCTTATAACCAGGTGATAGGTAGCCAGCCGTTGGGTGGTGTCTTCACAGCACCTGGAAATTTGTTCATTAAATTTCTCCATCTGATTCTCATGATCAGCATCCCTAGCTCCCCAGGCCAGCTAGACCCAGAGTCTTCACTCAGAGAAGCTGTGCAGTTCCCACATCCATCTAAATTCTGAGGTGCTTATGACGAACCAGCTCAGCTTCAGTGTTTACACTGATCCCCATGTCCACTGCAGTGTATGGCGTCAAGTTCCAGCTCTCCTACACACTAGCTATAAGGCCTCAGGCAAATCACTGAACTCTGAACTTCAGTTGCCTATTCCATAAGAAGGGGATAGTAATAGGGTTGTGGTGCAGAGGGTTTATACAAAACACAGTGCCTAACTTGGCAAACACTCAGTGAATATTAGCATTCACATTGAGCAGATTAAGGCTTTCACCTTTTTAAAGTATTTTAGCTTTGAAGTTTAAACAAGTAGTAATTTGTCAGAAATTAATGGAAACAGAAAATTCTACATTTCAGAGAGGTACCACCTAAACTTTAAAATATATCCACTTAAACATGTTTTTGTTCCTTTAGGCCAATTGTATCTGAAAGAAATGAACTTCTCATTCAGTTTTTCTCAGACTTAAGCTTAACTGCAGATGGATTTATTGGTCACTACAAATTCAGGCCAAAAAAATTACCTACAACTACAGCACTGCCAATGACCACCACAGTCACTGTAACTACAGGTGAGTTTTTCTGTTTTGAAATTTGTACATAAATTTAAGGAGTGTTAAAAAGTCTTTTGAAAGTAGGAAAAAATAAAAGGAAGATATTTAAAATTAAATAAGTTAAATAAGATGAAAACAATACATAAGAGACTAATATGACTCCATTAATGAAAGAGAAGTATGAGGTATACGAATAATAAGCTAAGCCTAAGCCAGTTTGACTCAGTGGATAGAGCATTGGCCTGTGGACTGAAGGGTCCTGGGTTCGATTCCAGTCAAGGGCACATGCCCTGGTTGTAGGCTCGATGCCCAGTGGGGAGGCATGCAGGAGGCAGCCAATCAATGATTCTCTCTTATCGTTGATGTTTCTATCTCCCTCTCCTTCTCTCTTCCTCTCTGAAATCAATAAACATATGTATTAAAAAATACAATAATGTCAATAAAATATATTTTTTAAAAATACTTTTAAATAAAAGAATAATAAGCTAATACTTTTTAAATGGATTTTTAAAAGAGAGGGAGAGAGAGATAAACATCGATGTGAGAGAGAAACATTGATTGGTTGCCTCCCACCTGCATACCAAAACCTGGGTATATACCCTGACTGGGAATCAAACCTGCCACCTCCTGATGTATGGGACAGTGCTCTAACCAACTGAGCTACACCAGCCAGGGCTAAGCTAATAATTTGTAAATGTCATCTAAAAAAATTATGACCAGTTAAAAATTTCTAGGAACCCACATAACAGATCATTATAAGACTGCTTTTTCTTTGCTGGCACTTATGAAATTATGGTTTTTCTTTTTATTACATAGAATTATAGTATTTTAGGTTAAAATACTGTGCCTGTTTTCACATCTGCCAGTATTTGGGTTTTTTTTATTTTTTTACTTTGCTCCAAAATGTGTAATACAAAATATATTACATCTTTTGTTAGAGTAAATCAAACAAAAATACTAGTATTTGACATATTCTGGAAGTCAGTTGGGAAACTCTGGTCTGGGACATGATCTAAGAATTGGGAAGATAGGAGGGGTTCCCTGTATATAGTCTCTACATCCTGTTAACTCCACTCACTGGGATTTCAGGCTCCAGATATCAAAATCTAAATCCAGGGAGCAGGAAAAAAGTGAGGAGGAAGGACCTAAGGTTAAGAAACGAAGCAGGTTGACATAAGACCAACTTTATTGTCCACTATTTCCTGTATGCTTCCCAAGTAAGGTTGTCCAGAGGACAGGCCCTTCTGGAAGAGTTGATTTTTCTGAGCACTCCCCAAGTTTGCCACCTTGTGACCTGGAAGGGTACTGCCTCATGTTAATGTACTATAACTCCAGCTCACCTCAGTGGACCCTGCTGTCCTTATTCTTTCATGTGAATTATCGGGTCATATCCATGGTGCTTAGTGGTTCCCTAGCTTTTATCTCCAGTCCTAAACTTTCTCTTAAATGGCAAACATGGATTTGTAATTATCTCCTAGAGTTTTGCAACTGCTAGACATTTATATTAAAACCTATCAAACTCAACTTGTTTTTATTACACTACTTTCTGCCCTAAACCTGCTCCCCCACCTGCTTCTCAACATAGCCACACTCTGAGAGTCATCTTTAACCTCTATCTGCCCTCCTCACTTCTTGCCCTGCCACCACACACACACACACACACACACACACACAAAGCCAACCAGGCCTGTCTCCCTCTTAAAGTCATTCTTTACACCTTGCCACCCAGTACATTAGCCACTATTGAGCACTGAAAATGTGGCTGGTGCTACTGAGGAACTGAATTTTTAATTTAATGAAATTTAAAAAGCCTCGTGTGCTTAGTGGCTACCAAATTGGACAGCATAAGAGCCCAACTCCTTCATGTGGTATATAAGGCCCTTCACACTTCATCCCTATTCTCTCTTTTTAGATTCATCTTTGGTCCCTACCACCTCTTTCCTTATGCTCTAAGTATTTTGGATTTTATCCTAAGTGTCAGGGAAACTGTTGATGGATTTAAGCAAAGTTGAGGATTAGATTTACACTGTGAAGATCACTCTGGCCACTGTGATGTGAATAGGTTGTAGGGGTCAAGAAGATCCATAGGTTCTTGTGGTTGTCCAGGTGAACTGTGCTATGACCTAAATACAGAGAGCCCTGATGGGTAGCTCAGTTGGTTAGAGCATCATCCCACTATGCTAAGTTTTCAGATTTGATCCCCAGTCAGGGCACATATAAGAATCAACCAATGGATATATAAATAAGTGGAACAACAAATCAATGCTTCTGTCTTCCTCTCTATAAAATCAATTAAAATAAATAAAATACAGAGATAGTCAAGAGTTATTGACTATTGTGCAAGTCAGGGACCTTGGGAGATATTGACAGGCCTTGGTGACTAATTGGACTAGGGAGATCAGGTATGTGTCAAGAATGCCTAACAGATCCCTGGCTTGCAAAACCTTGTGGATAATGTAACCATTCACTGAAGTTGAGAACTGGGTAGAGGAAGTTAAGCTGTGACCTCATTGGATCTGAGGTGTCCATGAGATACTCAAGTGGATGTCATGTGGACAGTTATATCTATGAGCCCCCAGACCAGAAGACAGATTTAAGCAAGATATCTGAATCTGAGAATCATCACCAATATATGGTTGATACCATGACCCAGAATGAGATTGCCTAGGAAGAGGTTAGAGGTGAAAGAAGGGCTGAATTAACTCTCTAGAAACTCCAACATTTTAAAGGGGGGATATGCTAGTAACAGAGACTGAAAGGCAAGAACTAAGGAGGAAGGAGGGATCCAGGATCATGTGCCAGGGAACCCCTGGGAAGTGGATGTTGTAAGAAGGGAATAGTTAGTAGAGCCAAGTGTTGAAGAAACTTCAAAAAAGGGAAGGATTAAAATATTTCCATTCTATTTCATGACTTGGAGACTCTAGCAAGAATTGTGCGAGTGGGCTGAGGTGTTTGGAACAAGGTGAAGAAATTCATAGTAAGTTCCAGCATTTCATTCCACAAGTTTGGTCCTAAAGAAGAGAGAGAGGCTTTGAGTGTCTAGAACAGGGGTGGGCAAACTTTTTGCCTCGAGGGCCACAATGGGTTCTTAAACTGGACCAGAGGGCCGGAACAAAAGCATGGATGGAGTGTTTGTGTGAACTAATATAAATTCAAAGTAAACATCATTACATAAAAGGGTACGGTCTTTTTTTTCAATAGTTTTATTCATTTCAAACGGGCTGGATCCGGCCCAAGGGCCGTAGTTTGCCCACGGCTGGTCTAGAAGAAGTTAAAGGTAACGGGAAGCAGCCAGCACTGGAGAACATACTGACAGACAGAAGAATAACCTGAGGAGGGAACGTCTACTAAGGTGGGGGGCATGGCCTCCAGAGCAGCAGCCATCAACCAGTGGTCCAAAGACCACTGGTGGTCTATGAGGCCTAAAGGTTGGCAACCGCTGGTTTAAGGACATCTTTGGAGCAGCAGTTGCTAACCAATGGCCCGTGGACCACTGGTGGTCTGTGAGGTCTGAAAGGTTGGCGACCACTGCTCCAGAGGACTCACAGGACAGACCTCTGGCCAGAGGTGGAGTAGCCTCCTCTCTCAGGGGCGGGAGAGAAGAGAGCAACTACAGACAAGACAGCTTTGAAGGTTTGGTGGGGATCTTGCAGACATTTTCTTCTATGATCTCTGTTCTTTCTATAAAATAGGGTCACCTGCTAAGAATGAGAAGGGAGGTGGTTAGGAGAATGAGAGAATTTGAAAAAGAGCTGTGGAAATTGGGGAGTGAGTTGATCCACCAAACAGCTTGTCACTTCTATGAGGGTCCATTTGTGGACTCAGCTTAGTGCAGGCCTAGGTTCGGACAGGGTTGAAGGACAAGGGGGAAAGGACAATTAAGGTATTGTCAAGAAAATGACAGAAATAATGGAAACTACGTGGAACAGCCAAGGAACTAAAGATGAATTGAGAACAAATGAGAGGTATTGGACCACTAAAGATAGGGAAAAAAAAGTAGTCATGAGAGTAAATCAATAACTAAGCTTGAAGTAGAGGCAGTTATACTGGATATGAGGATGTCTAAATTTGAGAAATTGGTGACTAAAGACTTCAACAGGAGGACATGTGAGCCTGGGACTGAGTGACTGAAATGGAGCAGAGAGAAAGTCTCTGGGAAGGATGAAGCCATGGCATGGAGAGGGAGTACCACACTGAGGGTGCCCCACAAAGATAGGTGCAGGAGCACACAGAGAGGAAGGCTGAGAACCAGGTGGGTGCTGGGAGAGTCGGGCATTGGGGAGATAGCAGTAGGATGAGAGGGTTAAGGTGGTGTAGCTGATGACTGAGAGCAAGAGAACGAGGATATATGGAAGGGAGGGATGGAGCAGTGTGGGACACCAGCCCAACTTCCATTCTGACATTTGGGGGCTGAGAAGGAACTGGCTTCCAGTGGTCCACAGAGGAGGGTTCCCTTTCCTCCATCAGGGAGAACATAATGCCACTGCTTTTTGGTTCAATTCATTATGTAAATTTAGATCTCCAACTTCTGGAACCACATTCTCTCTAAGTGTTTACTGAACTTTTTCTCTTAAAAAGAAATGTGTGTGTGTGTGTGTGTGTGTGTGTGTGTGTGTATTTAAGGTATTATATGTATTTAACATTAAAATTTTATATATTTTATGTTGTAATCCACTTCAAATTCTTTTTGGAGTTTAGTAGGGGTACAAATTAAGAGTAAATAAATAAATAATAAATTCACAGAAGAGTCCGCAGAACCTATTAGAAAGGCAGTACTTCAATTGCAAATTCGTACCTAACAAGTACAATTTTGTTACGGTTGTTTTGCTTCGTTCTTCCTAGAATATTGCCACATATAAGTGAATAATTAGCAAGTATTTTCGAAACATTTTAAATGATGGTAATTGGGATTAAATTTTTCATTTTGTTAACTCATGGTTTCTCAACCTTGGCACTAGTCACATTTTGGGCCACATAATTCTTTCCTATTGGGCATTGTATGTTATCTAGCAGCATCCTTACCCACTAGATGCTAGAAGCATGCCCTAGTTGTGATAACAAAACTATTTCCAGATAGGCCGTGGCAGACTCAATATCAATGTTTAGTAATTGGTTGCATCTAATTACAAATATAACACACTTTACATGTGAGCAGTATTTCCAAAAACCCTGTACTGCTCACATTTAAGCAATTGCATGTTTTAAATGTACCAAGAAAGCTCTCTCCATCTTTAGGGTGACACTATAGAATTCCTTGTGCAAAGTGAAGAGTTAAACTATATTTTCTTAGCTCATATTTGTTGTACTAGATTTTTCTAAGCAGGGCAAATGGAAGCTCTATTTTTAGTTATAGTGTTAGTTTTATGGAAAAGAAGAGTATAGGGCTAATTATGGTTTTTCTTTTATCTCAGGTTTAAAATTCAGGAAAGAATATTCAGTTATGCTAAGAAAATTGGAGCAGTAGTTGGTAGTATAAAGAATTTCTTTTGCATGATCTTTAATTATTTCATTGCAATGACATATTTTTCAGAGAAAAAATAGGAATGTTAAAGTGATAGATTCATATCTAATACCAATTATACTTGATTTTATTTTCCTGAATCTTATGTCTTTCCTTTTTGAATTAAGGTTTAAAACCCACCATGGCCATGTGTCAACAAAAATGTAGATGGGTTGGTACTCTGGAAAGCAATTACTGTTCAAGCAACTTTGGTAAGAAATAAAACCAAGCAACTTTGGTTTTATAAGAAACTTTTATAAGAAACGTGAGACTATACTAGTAGTCTCAAAGAAAGTGGCATGAATGTGATGGTAAAGGGTAAGTTACACTCTTGATTTACCCAAGAAAATACTTTCCCATACACTGAGGTATATGGACTTGTGCTCTTCAAAATATTAAGAGTTCATAACTGAGAAAGATATGTATATAGAAAATTTACTTTTTCATACAAATTTAATTTGATTCCTGGTACATGATACTGCTATTCTGTATATTTTGGTTGGCTCAGTATTACTGAAAAACAAAACAAAACAAAAACCTATATACTTTTTTTCTCACATATTTTTCATGAATTGGTTATCTTTTCATACACTGATAGTTCAACTTTAATAAATTAAAAGCATATCTAAGCTGGCCTCTCTCACAGGAAATTCAAACATTTCCTCTGCAATGTCTGTCCTTCTAAAGTATTAAATTAAAACCTGGAAATCTGAAATCTATTTGGAAACACTTATAAATTGGAACCTCAGGAAACATTACTAATGATTTAGAATTTAGAAGAGCTTTTTACACTAAAATAGAGTTGCCCTTTTTGTGAAAACCACTCAAGAGCAAAAGATAACAGATTTAATTATGTAGCTTATTTCCACAAGGAAGATTTAGGAAGGTCTTGCCAGGAAAAGAAAGCTGCGAAACCTAAAAGCTTACCCCAGACCCAGGGCCTCCCAGAAGGTCTCCGCATGCCCTGCATCAGACTTCAGCAGCTCCACGTTGAGGGACCTGGGCCCTCCCCCACTTTCACTTTCCAGGCATAAAATGAACCAAACAGCACAGGTGTCCCTGCCACCACAGACAGCCAGTCTCTGCAGGGTGCTTCAGGAAATCTCCCTCCTTGTCCTTTGATGCCACCTGATTCCACTTGGCTACAAGCTGACATTTTGCAATGAGCACTCACAGAGAATTCTGATTTTGTGAGCTTTGCACACCTTGTAAGCAGTGAGCTCTCACTTCACCCCAAAAGGCTCCTATCAGCCAAGTCCAAAACTTGATTAACTCCACTGTGACTCATGGCAAAACGACCACATACAGTCACCAGCTGCCCATTGGTTCTCAGCCAGAACTCCAGAGGCAGTTTGGATTGTCACAATAACCAGGGAGTGCTACTGTTTTTTCTGGGCAGGGATAAACTCATAAAATAGTCCTTCAATGCAGGTCCTGTTCCACATTGCATTGCCCTCACCAAAATGCCAAAAGCATGCCTCTGAGAGACACATATTCTTTCCTTCTGTGGCTCAGAAATTATACTCTTTTCTCCAAGAGTGACAATGGAAAAAAGAGAGTTACATAATGAAAAGCAACTGAGTTTTTCTAGAAAATTTTTTAAGCAAGAAAATGCTTTGTTATAGCTCAGTTCTATACTTTGATTTGTTAAATGAGATAAACAGGGTGGATAAGAAAGAGGATATGAGTCTGACCGTCGAGGCTCAGTGATTGAGTGTCGACCTATGAACCAGTAGGTCATGGCTCAATTCCCGGTCAGGGCACCTGCCTGGGTTTCAGACTCGCTCCCCAGCATGGGGCATGCAGGAGGCAGCCAATCAATGATTCTCTCTCATCATTGATGTTTCTATCTCTCCCTCTCCCTTCCTCTCTGAAATCAATAAAAATATATTTAATAAAGAGAACATCAAAGACCTAGTAAAAGACAGGTATTTACTGATAATTAGAGAGAGCTAAGGACCCATGGATGAACCAAAGTTCCAAGACAGAGGACAACTAAAGAGAGGGACTAAAGAGAGGGGTGGGGGAGACGCAGAAAGGTAGGCACACACACCCATACAGACACAAAGACTCCCTTCCTTGTGGCCCAAACACCCTCATGCAACCTCTGAGTTTGGTGTTGCCTCTGAAGACTCAAGGTCTTGTGAAGTATGCACAGGTAGAGGCTCATAAGCCATCCCTTACTTGGTAATTGATCTACATGTTGGATAAGACATTGTGAAGAGTCCCTTCTCAGTAATGGACCACAGTGCATAGCTATTCAGGTTTCCCTCCTGGGTCTCAACATCTAGCAACACAGGCAGCATGATAGCACCATGGCTCCTTTCTTCAACCTGAATTTTGGTGACAAGCATACAGAATCAAATTTGATTGCTCTGTTAGGGCCTTCTCTTTAACATTAAAATGCTTCCCATCTGAAACCACAAAAATGTAAAATTATGCTCAATTCTGCTTTTCCTAACATTTGCCTTCACTGTTATATTATTTCTAAAACATTTTCTTCTGCAGTATTTGCTGGTACTGTTATCACAACCATCACACGGGGTGGAAGCTTGCATGCCACAATCTCCCTCATCAGCATCTATAAAGAGGGAAATCTGGCAATTCAACAGGCTGGCAAGAACATGAGTGCCAAGGTCATTGTGATCTGCAAGCAGTGCCCTCTCCTCAGAAGAGGTGAGTAAGGAGGGAAACTTTAGTCTTGTAGGGGAGCTCAGAGACAGAGATCGGGACAAGAGAGCCTCTCCGAGCTACTCAGGGATATGAGCATGCCCTAGCTGGTTATGGGAAGTCAAGTCAGAGCTTTTGGAACAGAAAGAAGACTGTGGCATCAGGCAGAATTGGGCTTTAAGCCCAGTTCCTGTGAGGTGGACAAGGATGAGAAGCGGAAATGATGAATGAGTCCAAACAGCACATGAGGTTGGATCAATATGGACAGACACAGAGGAGCAGTTCAGAAGAGACTTTTAGTTATTGCACTTAAGGCACCAGTATTACAGAGGAAAATATTCAGCAAATAAAAGGCAATTCAGTCCTAGCGGTTTGGCTTAGTGGCTAGAGTGTCAGCCTGTGGACTGAAGGATCCCAGGTTCAATTCTGGTCAAAAGCACATGCTCGGGTTGCAGACTTGATCCCCAGTGGGGGGCGTGCAGGAGGCAGCCGATCAATGATTCTCTCTCGTCATTGATGTTCCTATCTCTCTCTCCCTCTCATTTCCTCTCTGAAATCAATAAAAATATTAAAAGTGTTTTTTTAAAGGCAATTCAGAGCTCAAGTTCAGAAGGGAGAGAGGCATATAGAGAGGCTAGAATTAAAGATTTGGGAATAATTTTCAGATGTAGGATCATTTAATCCATACATGGGAATGAGTTTATTAAGAGAAATTATGGGAAAGGGAAAGTTACTCCAGAGCCAGACCACATAATTTTTAAACAAGCTCTTTTAACTTATAAAAGTAATATATTTTCTATGGTTATAAAAATGTTTAAATATGTAGAAAAGGATATAAAATAAAATGTGAATATCTTTCCCTTTTAAACCCAGAGGTAGTATGACAAATTCCAGGAAGTTTTTGTCCATATACATATGTAGACAAATGAGGTCATATGATACATATTCTATTGCAACTTTCCCCCCATGATATCTATGTACTAGTACACCTTTCCATAAACAGCACGTGTAGATAGATCCCTCTCTTTGAAATGGTAATAATGCTATGATTTCTCTATCCAATATCAACTCATTCATTTCCTCAGTCTTGTTACTAAACTCTTCCACAACCAAACCAAACAAAACAAAATGAGAGTGAGAGAAAGTTATAAATAATATTCACTTCAAGAAAGCTTTACCATGAACTCAGATTGTTTAGAAAAGTCAGGAAGCCAGCAGCCTCACATTGATTTTTCAGAGGAAATAGCAAAGGCTCTGTAAAAGATAACACTGCTTTCCAGAACTGCTAGGAATGGCAAATAATGCACATCTAGATCCTTCCTCTGTGATCTCATGAAGACACTAGCAGTCTGGCCTTGAGGTGGCACCTGTCTGCACAGCCTACAGGGCCCTCCCAGGCTCAGGCTCACTCTGATGACAGCATCAACATAGAGGGAGGGTTATGCAAGAGAAAGGGGAAACATATTTCTCTTATGACACACTGGGGAAGAGGAAGAATAAAAGAGGTTGAGTACACACTTCCTTTATGATGTTTTCTGAGGCAATATAAATCTTCAGAGGCGAACCCAACATGCCCTAGTCTAAGCCAGGCACACTAATGTAATAAAAATAGTGTAACAGGTATAAGTACTCCTTTAGTAGCAGTTTTTTTGTTTTGTTTTGTTTTGTTTTGTTTTTATGAGGGAATACAAAGAAGCAAAGAAGTGTGTAACCCAACCATGCTCTGAAGAAACTTCCCTATGTAGATCTTGAGATATTAGGGCAAAGTTCAAGACAACAACAACTGAAGGCAGAGATCACTAGCTGCACAGTGCCTGGAAAACTCAGGAGCTCTATGGGACTGTGAGAGGACATCTGAGGATGGTGTGTCGGAGCACTAGAGGCCTTTCATGTGAACACAGTGTGTTGTTCTTGGTAGATTCTCAGTGAGTGCACCAGCCCCACAGTTCTGCAGAGAAGGGCATGACTGACCGAATCATTCCATCCAGTTTCCTAGTATTAGCACAGCTGGGACATGGTACTCAGTTGAATTTATATTTTTGCTGCTGAGAGTCTTAAATAAGATCTTATCCTAGATACAGTAAATGTATAAGTGTATCATTTATAGAAAATTTACCTAGAGATAAGTTATAGTCTAAGTTAGGATTCCAAGATGGTGGCAGATTAGGTGGAAGCTACACTGAAGTTCTCCCAGGACCAAAATGGATTTATAACTATAATATAGAAAAATCATGCTGAATAAACAACTGAAGATTAAGTGGAAAGAAGCCTTATAACCAACAACTTAAAGAGGAGGCCACATTGAGACTAGTAGAAGGGCAGAGGCCCAAGAGTGCTCACAGGGATCCCACAGGCAGCAGCTAAAATTCTGGAGGGATATCTCAGCTGTAGGGGGTTCTCCCTGAGAAGTCTAAACCCCAAGCTGGGATCCCCAGCTCAGAGCACCAAAACCAGGAAATGCGTCCACATAACTTCTGGCTATGAAAAGCATCAGGGTTTCTGTCCTCCAGTGAAAGGTGGCTAGAAATGCAGGCATTATCATAAAGGGCCAATACACAAAATTTTGTTTGCTTACAGTTACCCTGGGTTCTGTTAGAGGTAGGGCAGAGTGGACTAGAGCTATGTGAGGAGAGTCTTGTAATTGGTGACTCTGGGAAGAGAGCTTGAGGTGACAGCCACCTGGATCCCTAAGCTGAGTCATTCCCGCATATTGTAGAAGCCATCTTTCTCAGGCAGACCCTCCCCATGTATGCAGCATTAGCCTGGGGGGAGGGGCAGCAATAGCCCACCCATTGGAAACCCTCTCACCCCACCCTGTGGAGTTTACACCTGACTGAGCTCTACAGCCAGAGGCTCAGTTAAGTGACTGAGACTAAAAGACAGCCTGAAGGCAGAGGCAAATCTCTGGGTGCTTTGACTCTTTGCCTGACCTTCTCCTAGACTCAGAGCTACTAAAAGCAGTCCTTGGTGCACAGCTTGTCCTTTCCACATGTACCCAGGCTCAGTAGAGGAATCTACAAGCTGTGGATCACTGGTAGCTCCAAACAGGTTGTGCACCTGTTCCTCTGTGCACCAGAGGAATGGCCACTGGGTGTATTGATTCTGGGCCTCTTTGGAGCGACTCTAGTGCAGGCTAGTCACAGACAGCTTCTGACATTGGCCTGCACTAGAGTCCCTCCAAAGAGGCCCAGAATCAATACACCAAGTGACCAACTTCAGACACTAAAAGAGCAGAACCCAATAAGCTTCACAAGCAGCATATCCATAGAGAGATCTCAGCAGACACCAAGGACTGCTGAGGCAAATTCCACTTCATGTGATCAGCACCTGCACAGCAGCCTGCACACCGTGTTGGGGGTTGAGCCTCACAGTCAGCCCAACTAAGGGTCAAGGCCATGCACAAATGGGCCAACAATAATCAAGACTCAATTGCAAAAGGAGAGCCCACACAAATGCACACAAGAGACATTCTTAGAGCATTCAGTTCTGGTGATTAGAGAAACTGTGCCACTGTGTCCCACAGGACACCTACTACATAAGGCCACCCTACCAAGACTGGGAATCATAGCAGATCTACCTAATACATAGAAATAAACACAAATAGGCAGCCAAAATGGGGATACAAAGAAACAGGCCCCAAATGAAGGAACAAGAAAATTTTCCAGAAGAAGAGCTAAATGAAGAGGATGTAAGCAATTTATCAGGTAGAGTTCAAAGTAATGATTATAAGGATGCTCAACAGCATGAAAATGGATATAGAAACCATGAAAAAGGACCAGTCAGAAAAGAAGAATGTCAATTTTGAAATAAAGACTACACTGAAAGAAATAAACAGCAGGGTCAATGAAACAGAGGATTGATCAGTGATTTAGAAGACTAGGTAGAAAAAAACACCCAATCAGCAAAAAAGAAAAAAGACTTTAAAAACTGAGCATAGTTTAAGGGACCTTTGGAACAACATGGACTGTAACAACATCCACATTATAGGAGTACCAGAAGGAGAAGAGAGAGAACAAGGGATGGAAAACCTATTTGATTAAATAATTCCTAAAAACTTCCCTAACCTGGTGAAGGAAAAAGAAATACAAGTCCAAAAAGTGCAGAGAGTCCTAAACAATATGAACCCGAAGAGGCCCACACCAGAACACATAGTAATTATTTTAAATTTTATTTTTTTGTGACAATATTATAGATGTCCCCCAATTTTCCACTCCTTAATTCCCTCCTCTCAGCCCCTGCCCATGCCAGGCCTTTACCACACTATTGTCTGTGTCCGTTGGTTATACATTTATATATGAAAGTTCTTTGGTTAATTTCTTATTGTCTTACCCCCTCCCCTCTGATTTACATCAGTCTATTCCTTGCCTCCATGCCACTGAGTCTATTTTGTCAGTTTATTATGTTCAGTAGATTCCACTTACAAGCAATATCATGTAATATTTCTCTTTCTCTGAATGGCTTATTTCACTCAGCATAATACTATCCAGCTCCATCCATGCTATCGTAAAGGTTAAGAAACACTTCTTTTTTGAAGCTGTATAATATCCCCTTGTATAATATCCCATTGTATGTACCACTGCTTTTTTATCCATTCATCTACTAATGGGCAGTTGGGCTGTTTCCAGATCTTTGCTATTGTAAGTAAAGCTGCTATGAACATAGGGGTTCATATATTCTTTCTGATTGGTGTTTTGGGCTTCTTAGGATATATTTCTAGAAGTGCTCAACAGCATGAAAAAGGATGAAACCATGAAAAAGGACCAGTCAGAAAAGAAGAATGTCATATTTGAAATAAGACTACACTGGAAGAAATAAACAGCAGGGTCAATGAAGCAGAGGATTGAATCAGTGATTTGGAAGTCTAGGTAGAAAGAAACACCCAATCAGCTGGGTTTAATGGTAGTTCCATTTTTTCATTTTTGAGTAAATTCCATACTGTTTTCCATAGTGGCTGCACCAATCTGCATTCCCACCAGCATTGTACTTGGACTCCCTTTTTCCATATCCTTGCAAGCACTTGTTTTCATCATAATTAAAATGCCAAAAGTTAAAGACAATTGTAAAAGCCACAAGAGAAAGGCAGTCAGTTACCTATAAAGGAACTCTCATAAGACTGTCATCTGATTTCTCAACAGAAACATTTCAGGCCAGGAGGTATTTGCATGAAATATGCAAAGTGATGAAAAGCAAGGGCCTATAACCAAGGCTACTTTGCCCAGCAAGGCTATCATTTAAAATTGAAAGAGAAATAAAGAGCTTCAAAGGCAAGAAAAAGCTAAAGGGGTTTGTTACCACCTAACCAGTATTACAAGAAATATTAAAGGGCTTGCTTTAAGAAGCGGAAGAAGGCCCTAGATGGTTTGGTTCAGTGGACTTGATCCTCTGTTGAAGGCTCGATTTCTGGTCCTGGTTTGGTACATGTGGGAGGCAGCCAATCTATATGTCTTTCTCACATCAATGTTTCTGTCTCTGTGTCTCTCCCTGTCCTCTAAAAATCAATGGAAAAATATCCTCAAGTGAGGATTAACAACAACCCCCTCCCCCAAAAAAGTGGAATAAGAAGAAAAGAACACACAGAGGAACATAGTTAAAAAATATAAAATGGCAATAGATACTTACCTATCAATAATCACTTTAAATGTAAATGGCTTAAATGATCCAATCAAAGGACATAAGGTAGCTGAATGGATAAGAAAATAAGACCCATGTATATGCTGTCTTCAAGACACCCACCTCAGAATGAAAGATACACACAGACTAAAAGTATAAGAATGGAAAAAGATATTTCATACAAATTTAAAGGAAAAAAAGCTGGGGTAGCAGTACTTATATCTGACAAAATAGATTTTAAAACCAAGGCTATAGTTAGAGACATTACAGAATGATCAAGAAATCAACCAAACAAGAGGACATAACTCTTGTAACATTTATGCACCCAACATAGGAGCACCTAAACATGTAAAGCAAATCTTGATGGACATAAAGTGCCGGAAGCCGGTCCATCCTTGCTGTTTCAAGGGACCTGGCATATATGGCATACTGTTCTTAATATGTTTGTTCACCTTCTTGGCACTATGTGTTTTAAACAAGGTCACCTCTCTGAGAAAGGTTGTTTCCCCAGGTAGGGATTTTCCCCTGAAGTTAGGGAGGGAATAAAACCTCTTAACCCCTTCCCCAGCAGAATACACAGAACTTGGCTGGAGATTGTAGCTAGAGATCCTGGCAAGGCTGCTGATCTACTGAACGCTGTCTCCGTATCATTCCTTCTTTGCTGACTCCGTCCACACCTTTGGGGAACCTCTGGACCTGCTGGGGTTGGACCCCAGCAATAAAGGAAGAGATTGACAATAATATAGTTATAGTAGGGTATTTTAACACCCCATTGACATCAATGGATCTTCCAGACTGAAAATCAACAAGGAGATGGTGACCTTAAATCACACACTAGATCAACTGGTTTTAATTGATACCTTCAGAGCATTTCACCCCAAAGCAGTAGAATATACATTCTTATATGCCCATGAACATTTTCTAGGATAGACCACATGTTAAACACAAAACAAGTCTATATAAATTTAAGACTGAAATCCTATCAAGCCTCTTTTCTAATCATAACTTAAAATCAGTCACAAGAAAACTGAAAAACACACAAAGATATGGAGGCTAAATAACATGTTACTAAACAATGAATGGGCAAATAAGGAGATCAAGGAAGAAATCAAAAGACACCTTGAAACAAATGAAAATGAGAACATAACTACCCAAAAATCTGTGGAACACTGGGATAGCAGCTCTGAGAGGGAAATTCATAGCATTGCAAGCCTTTCAGATGAAATATGAAAAATCTCTAATAAACAATCTAACTTTACACTTAAAGAAACTGGAAAAATAACAAAGCCCAGAGTGAGTATACGGAAGGAAATAATAAAGACCAGAGCAGAAATAAATGAAATACAGTCTAAAAATACAATATAAAATATTAATGAGGCCAAGAGCTAATTTTTTGGAAAGGTAAACAAGATTGATAAACCTTTAACCAGACTCAAGAAAAAAAGAGAGAGGACCAAATAAATAAAATCAGAAATGAAACAGGAGAAGTAGCAACTGACACCAAATATATACAAAGGATTGTAAAAAAATATTACAACTATATGCCAATAATCTGGAAGAAATGGATAAATTCCTAGGAACATACAACCTTCCAAAACTAAATCAGGACAGATTACAACTAGTGAAATTGAAGCAGTAATTATAATTAAAAAAAAAAACAACTTTCAACAATAAAAAACCTAGCCAAATGGCTTTACAAGTGAATTTTACCAAACATTCAAAGAATACCTATCCTCAAATTCAAGAGGAAGACTTCTACACTCTTTTTACAAGGCCAGCATTATCCTCACTCCAAAACCAGATAAAGATACAAGAAAGAAAAACAATTATAGCCCAACATTCCTGTATAACAGAGATGCTAAAATCCTCAACAAAATATTAGGAAACCGAATATAGCATTACATTAAAAAGATCATACAGCATGATCAAGTGGGACTTATTATTGGGATGCAAGGTTGGTACAACATTCAAAAAACAGTAAACATGATAAACCAAATAAATAGATTAAAGGATAAAATCACATGATCATATCCATAGGTGCAGAAAAAGCATTTGATAAAATTCAGCACCAATTTATGATAAAAATTATAGTCTAAATTGTTTCAAACAAGCACACATAGAGAAAAAATTAGCTTATATTCATTATTTTTAGCACACAGAGAAAAAAATTAACATATTCTTTATCTCTTAGGTCAAAATTACATTATTATGGGCCAAGTGGGTGAAGATGGGAGAGGCAAAATCATGCCCAACAGCTTTGTCATGATGTTGAAGACCAAGAATCAGAAGTTCCTGAATGCCTTGGAAAACAAGCAATGTTAACAGTGAACTGTGTTCATTTAAGCTTCATTCTGATATTGACTTTGAAAAATCTATTTTTCTCACTATAAAAACAATCTTATGACATTAAATATCGAATATTCAGAAAGATTGACTCTTCACAGAGGTAGGTGTGATGGAAGTTCCATGCTTGCATCAAGAGAAGCAGATATTGTAGTGCAGTGACAGGAACCTAATGGCATTGAGCGGTGACTGTTGAAAGCAGTTAATTTGTACATGCCTGTAAAGGGGTATTTTAGAAATGAGTTTTGTGAAGATGTAAAAGGAGATTTTTATAAGTGCAATATTTGCTTCAAGATGTTATATTCCTTTCTTGCATTTTTAAATCGATGCTTAATAAAATATTTTTAAATGATTATGTAACAGCCATGGTACTACTTTTATATAAAGTGGGACACTGTAAAAAAGAATATTCCCTGCAATTTACCTAGAAGGCTGTCTTTGTAACAATTTACCCTTTGCTAAACGACAATATTTTGAGAATTTCGGGGGCCAGATGGATCCAGTAATATAAACACACTATAATTCTTCCCTACAGAACCAGAATACCTTAGCGCTCAAATGGTGTCCCTTAGCAATCCAATTCAATGCCTTTATTTTGTGATAGAAATTGAAGCTCAGGTATATTTAGTGATTTGTCCAAACACAAATCTCCCACAAGACAGAGCAGGTGATCAAGCTTGGATGTCCGAATTGCAAACCCAGTGCCTTCCCCGCCATTAAAAGGGACCCTCATTGACCCAGAGGAAAGCCCGCTTATCCTGACTTACAGAGTTCAGTCCTTTGTTTTTGTAGCCTAAATCATAATTGGTCATTTTATATGACTTGAAATTAGAAGTGAGCCTGACACCCCCATCCTGTTCATTCCCAGTTAACTGGATCAGGCTGTCTGCTAGGATGCACTCTTTCTTTGAGAAATCTACACTTAGTAGTGGAAGAATTGGAAGTGACTTCCCATTATTTGCACAAGGCTGCTTAAAATGTCCCTGTACCTGCAGTGGGTGTGGCTGGCAGCCCTCAGGAGGTTGCCCTCCAAGAGCTGTGGAAAAAGGGCAACCACCCCTATCCAAAGAAAGTAGAAAGAGTATTAGTGATGAACAAAGACTTGAGTCACAAGGTCTTCTATAGTAAAAGCAAAGTTTTAGAGACAAGGGAAATATTCTTTGGAGTGAAAATCCAAGTATATGTTCTTTGAAACATACCTAAAACATAAGGTCACAGAAAAGTTGAAGAGAAATGGGTAGAAGAAGAAAACTATACCAGGAAAATATTAACAAAACTGATGTGGCTTTATTAATATTAGAAAATATAGACTTTAAGGCATTATTCAAGATGAAGATTACAAGGAGATATAACAGTTACTTACATGCAGCTAATAACATCCTTCAAAATAACTAAATCTGGTGTTGTATAAATGGAAATTGACAAGTTTATCATCATTGTGGAGACTTTAACATTTTTTTTCTCAGTAATGGACAGATTTAAAAGGGAAAAAAAGACACAAAAATATAGGCGACGTGAGCCACACAGTTACCTAGATTCACCTGATGGTTAGAACAGTTTCAAAACTCACTACTTACTGCACTGTGAAACAAATCCCAACACATTTCAAAGCACTGGTAAGGTACAAGCACCCTTCAACAACAAGGAATAATTAGAAATTAATAAAAGTAAACAATAGTAAAACAGATAAGAAAAATGGTATTGGAAATTGAGATATGTGCTTTTAAATGACTCATGATCAAATGGAAATTATAATGTAAAACCAAAATATTAAAAATTGAACAATAATAAAAATGCTAAATTTAAAAATTTTCAAATGTGTGGAATGTAGCTCAAATAACACTTTAAAATTTATAAACTTAAATATTTGCATTTTTTAAAAAAGGGTGAAAAATAATTTGTAAATGATACAAATAGGAAGTTAGTAAAATAGCAACAGAATAAACTTTTAAAAGATAGGAGGAAATAAGCATAAGAACAGAAATTGAGTAAAATAGTAATCCTAAACAATGGAGAAAATGAACAAAGCCAAAAATTGCTTCTCTAAAATGACTAATATAATTGGCAAAACTGACAAGATTGAGCAAGAAAAGTGAAAAAGGACAAGAAAACAATTTAGGACTGAAAGCAGGACCTACCTACAGGTGTTACAGGCAATCTTAAAAGGCAGTAAGACATTCTGACCATTTTGTGTCAATAAGTTTGAAAGTTTAGCTGAAGTGGACAAATTCCTAAGTGGGGGAATTCATCAACTGAGACTCAAGTAGAAATAGAATATCTACATAGTCCTTATAACCATTAAAGTAGTTCAGTCAGTAGTTTAAAATCTTTCTTCATATAAAACTCCAGGCCCAGAGAGTCTACCAAACACCTAAGGGACAAACACTGCCAACCTAACATATACTATTTCAGAGTATAAATAATGAAGAAACACTCTACAATATTTTTCTATGAGATGAATATAATCTTAAGAGCAAAACTTTAGCAGACAGTAGGATTCAGGTGCATCACCAGTCCTATTTCACTTATGAACATAGGTGCAAAAACCCTGAACAAAATGTTATCAATCAAAATCTAGCAAACAAAATAGGTCATGATCAAGTTAAATTTATCCCAGAAACACGATTGATTTAACTTTAGAACACCAATGATCATACTTCACTACATTAATAAATTTGCAATGCCAAGTAGGGAGTGTTAGGTGCCATTATACATTCAGACTCTTAGGACTCCCACAGCCCTCTTGGTACCAATACCCTCAGAAAGGTACAGTAAGGAGACCAGTGCTTAACAGGACCGTGGCAGACTTCCTTCTTCTGTCGGGAGGGCCTGGCAGCAGCCTACCACTCGCTGATGTGTTTTCTTTGGCCTCCCTAGATGATATCTCAGATGCCAGGAGACAAGGGTTCATGTCTGGTGGGTCAAACACTCCAGTTTAAAGTTCACATCTCCTCAGAAACAACTAATCTCTTAGAAGAATTCCATAGGCACAACTTCCAGACTCTTCATGGACGGCATGCCTGGTTATAAGTGGTATACACTGAGAAAGGCCCAAAGCTATGGCTCCCCTACCAGCTACTTATGGTTCAATTATAGTTCCAGCCAATCCAATGCAATTTACCAATCAGGGTCCATTTTTATCATAAGCAAGTTTGCCTAGCATCAAGATGACATATAGTATTATCAGATTATTAGGTGAGTTAAACAACAGTCAACTCTTAAAAGAATGGGGAAAGGTTCTATTAAGCCCTATTCACAATAGATTAAAGGGAAAAATCATTTGCTCTTAATAATTCATGAAAGCATTTTATATAATCAACATTTATTCATGACAAAGTAAATCCTGAGCAAACTATGAATAAAAGGGGAATTCCTTAAACTGGCAAGAAAACCTGCACCGTACTTAATGGTAAAATATTCTTAAAGTGAAAGCAGAATGCCTGAAATCAACATTTCTATTAAAAATTGTACTGCAGACTCTAGTCAATGTAATAAGGCAAGAAAAAGAAATGAATTATATTGGACAGAAAGAAATAAGACTATTATAATGCAAAGACTATTATTCAAATTCAAAACCCAAAGTAACCTGCAGGTAAGTGATTAGAATTAATAGAGTTTCACAGTTTGTCCCTTAGATGTGTGTGTGTGTGTGTGTGTGTGTGTGTGTGTGTGTGTGTGTGTGCCCTAGGCCAAGGACAAACTTTTGAAGCTTAATCCATTGAATAGCCTTTCTAATGAGGAGTGAGAGACATACAGAAATACACTGAGGGAAAGGAATCTCTAAATTTCTGATGGTAGGATAGAGAAAATGGAGCTTACCTGTTATTCATCTGGTTGGCTGAAATAGTACTTTTTTCAAACCTATATTTACCTCAGACATAAACCTACTGTTTTCCCTCTTGAATTACTGTAATTTAATCAGAGATCGTGTCTCTTCAAAAATTGTTATTTTTATTTATTCTTAAAATATATTTTTATTGTTGATAGTATTACAGATATCTCCCATTTACCCCCTTTTATCCACCTTCTCCCAAAATTGTTATTTTTAAAGCATGTTACTAGCACAATTTTTCCTCACTAATTTTGAGTTGTGTATCTTAAATATTTTCTTTAAACTGGAGGTAGGAGGAGCAGAAAAACACATGTAAAATGATCAAATGAAGGGAAATACTATAATTGCAAATTCTGAAGATATTTTTTAAAAAACACATGTTCACAGATGGAGCAATGATGCCAGAAAACTAGCAAATCAACTTACAATTGAGAAATTCAAAGCAGCCATTATCCCCGGTACCATTAATATATTCTTTGTGTAATTCGAACCAACTGGTTTTGTAACAGTGGGGAATTGTAACCCACCCCATCATTCTTTTGACATTGCTGACTCTGATTAACATGTAGCTTGTAGATATAGCGCATGCTTGTATCAGAATCCTAGGAACTAACTTCAGAAGGTACAAACTCTAACCTTCAGATATCCCAGCTCTAGTGGAATTGCTGACTTTCAACTGTGAAACAAGGATGGCCTAAAACCAGGGTGATGCACACCAGACCATCACTTGACTAGTTTCAGGTCCTTATTGGAATGGACTTCACTGGTATGCCCATGATAACTTTTCTTTCTTTTTTTATTTATTTATTTATTTATTTATTTATTTATTTATTTATTTATTGATTGATTGCTGGAGAATATTCCTTTATATCACATGCCTATGGTTACAAAGAACTGTTGTTCATATGATCTTATTATATCCCCAGACCAATCTGTAAAGCTGAACACTTGTCACATTTCGAGAGTAAGGAACTGCTGCTCAGAAACAATGCTATCACCTTTGACCATGCTTCCTTGGTTGGTTTTGGGGAGACTACCTTCCTTACCCCACCCCCCATTCCTTCTCAGGAAAGGCCTTTTCTTCCTATTTCCCCTTCAATACAGATGCTCGGGGCCTCTCCTCTTCTGCTCTACCCTCATTAAATCAGCGGTCGCCAACAGGTGGTCACCACTGGTGGGTGGTCTGTGAGGTCTGAAAGGTTGGCAACCAGATGCATTAGATGACCTCATCCTCTCAGGGTTCTGGCCATCACATGTAGACTGACAGCTGCCAGTTCTACTTTGCAGCCCCAATCTTCTCCTTGAGACCTGACCTATATACACTCCTGCTTAAGTCCCACACAGGAGCATCCCCTGCAGGCCAGGCCTGGAGAGAAAGCCGGGGGTGGGGCGGGGCGGGGGGGGCAGGGGAAGGAGGCCCCATGCATGGTGCACAGGGAAGAGCCACTGGAGTGCAGAGGTATGTGCATCCTCAACAGCACTATTTTTCAATATTTTGATTCCTATTTTAAACCTTTTTATAC